GCTCCTCTTTGTGTAAAGAAGGGTGGTATAAACATTCGTTAACTTGTACATGCTCAGGAACAATGCATAAGAAATCACAACTGCCTCTGGGAGAAGGCCTGAGGTCAGACGTAGAGGGGGACATACTTCTTTCCTCCCAAAGACCATTTTGTGCTATTTGAAATTATGTTAACACGAAGAGTTAAATATTTTTATAAGCATAGCTTTTAAATTATTTAAATATTAAAAGGAATACACATTACCATATGATCCAGCTATTCCACTTCTGGGTATTTATCCAAAGAATAAAAACACACTAATTTGACACATGTACCCAAATGTTTATAGCAGCATTATTAACAATAGCTAAGATACAGAAACAACCCAAGGGCCCATCCATGGATGAACAGATAAAGAAGTGAGACAGACAGACACACACACACAATGGAATACTACTCAGCCATAAAAAAGATGAAACATTTTGCCATTTGTGATAACATGAATGGATCTTGAGGATATTATACTAAGTGAAATAAGTCAGATGGAGTAAGACAAATACTCTATGATTTCATGCATATATGGAATATAAAAACAAACAAAAAAACAAAATAAATGAACAAATCAAACAAAAACATACATTCAAAGAACAGAGTAGTGGTTACCAGAGAGGAAGGGATGGGGATGGGGACACAAATGTGGAACAGAGGATCGATTTTACAAGGAGGGATGGAAAATAAATTTTTAGTGGTGGGCATGCTATAGCATGGACTTCCCTGGTGTCTCAGCTGGTAAAGAATCCACCTGCAACACATGAGACCTGGATTCAATCCCTGGGTTGGGAAGATCCCCTGGAGAAGGGAAAGGCTACCCACTCCAGTATTCTGGCCTGGAGAATTCCATGGACTGTATAGTCCATGGGGTCACAAAGAATCAGACATGACTGATTGACTTTTACATGCTATAGGATATACAGAAGTTGAAATACAATGCTATATACACAAAATTTATATGTTATAAACAAATGTGATCTCAATTAAAAAAAAACCCCACATACACATTTCTAGAACAGATATGAACACAGCACTCAGTAAGTGCTGATTTTTTAAAAAAATGAAAGAGGGACTTCCCTGGTGATCCATTGGCTAAGACTCCATGCTCCATATGCAGGGGGCCCCAGTTCAAACCCTGGTTAGGGAACTAGATCCTACATGTTGTAACTAAGACCTAGCACAGCCAAATAAAGAAATATGTACATATTTTTAAAATGTCTGGCATGCAGACACTGTCTCTAAGATGACCAGCAAATGCTGTTTTTAGGAGCCCCACTGCACACAGGGGGCATGATGCACTGGTGATGTAGCATCTCAGCATCACTACATACCTGCTGGGTAACCCTGGGCAAGTTACTTCACGTCTCTGTGCTCCTCTATTTCCATGGTTATAAGAGTACATGCTTGAGGACGGAGAGCTGAATGACCCTTGATTTACATTTTCTCAAGAAGAAACAGCTGAGCTTTTATTACTCAAACACTGTGTCATCCATCATAGTTATTTTTGGCCAATGTCTATTTAGGAAACATGTATGTTTACATCTCCAAACACAACACAACACTTTAAACAAAATGTATGTTGTACATACAGAGGCAGAATGTCAGGATCTAGTGGAGATGCTCCAAGTGCCAACAAAACGGGGTGCAGGAAGTTACTAAACACAAAGTAACTGTCTACAAAGAGCCACATAAACGTCTTGCAATTCGGAAGGGATATCTTACATATTTTACATTTAGAATTGCTTGTTAATTATATATTGGTATCTCCCCGTATTTCATTACGCTTTTAGAAACTGTTGGGGGTCTGGGTTTTGTGCAATGGGTTGTTACAGCATGTCCCACAAGAAATAATGAGACAGGGCGGCCGTTAGTGTTTTCACACAGAATGTCTGGTTTTTAGGGATGAATTACTGATGTTAAGTGGGAAATGCTTACACATAAAATACTCAGAAGAATGACCAGCACAGAGCAGAAGCTCAATGTGTGTTAGCTACTACAAGTAGCATTTAGTAATTAAAAAAAGAAAAACAACACTGATGTACTGAATACAAACCCAAGGTTACAAAGAGGTGAGGGAGGGAACTTGGCTCTCCTTGCCTGTTTCTCTGGAATACTGCCAGCTGACCCAGAGAAAGTGATGGGTTAATTACAAGGTGGTAGGAAGAGGTTTGAAATAATTTGATTGTGGAATAATTTTTATAATTTAGAATGATAATGAAAGGGTGTGAACTTTTCTTAATCGCCCAGGTGGAGAGCCTTAGCACTGTATCATCCCCTAGCATTCCACCCATCTTGACCTCAATCATGGGTCCTTCTGACCAGCAAGCTCCCCTTCTCTTCCATCCAAACCAAAGCCAGCCCCACTGAGCAAAATCAAAGCTGAGGCATGGGGTATAAGAATCTGCCTGCCAAACAGGAGACACAGGTTTGACCCCTGGGTTGGGAAGATCCCCTAAAGAAGAAAATGGCAACCCACTCCAGTATTCTTACTGGGAAAATCCCATGGACAGAGGAGCCTGGTGGGCTATTACAGTCCATGGAGTTGCTAAGAGTTGGACATGACTTATCAACTGAACAATAACAACAATATATATAGTACTTAAAATACATAAATAATTTCAACTTCCTTCCCCCACATTGACAGCTTGGGAGAACCCCCAGAAGAATGTTCAGGAGGAGCACAGTCCAGTCATCACAGACAAAATGCTACCTGAGGTAAACCTGGAGGCTGAGGTGAGCACCCGGGCACATCATACAACCAGCAGAGCAGCGGTCTCTGACTGTCTCACACAAGGCTGTGTGGGTGTTGAGGAGGCTGGGGGGAGGACCCAGCAGTTCTGCCAGTTACACATTCCAGACAACAGGCACCAGCTCCTCATTTGAATCTGAAGAATGACGAACTCACACACTCACCCAGGTAAGCGAACACATCATCTGATGTCTACTCATACTTTTGGAAGAAACAATGGTAGCCAGAATGGGGTCACTGACCCAGACTCTGGTACCTGAGTAATTCTTAGAAAGCCACTAAGTTGAGGTTTTAACAAGATTATTTTAACTTTATCAGTACTTCATTCTTAGAAGTGGGGGAGCTGGTAGGAATACCAAACTCAAACACACCCCACAACGATGTCAACTTTCCTTTACATTTCCATCTGTGCAGTGACACCAACTTCATTTTCATTCAGAAGACTATTAAGAGAGTTCAGGGATTTATAAAATAAATCCAATGTGCCAGGCTCTCTGGTTTTCTCCGTCTTTTCAGGACAGACTCTAGAAACTTCTGGGCAAAGCAAATGTACTCTGTGACTGCTTCAACCAAAAAGGCGCAACCATTAGTTCAGCCCAGTGACGTGGCCTCACAGGTCTAGTTCCTAAGAACACAGAAGGGATTTAAGAAAGTGAAAGGGGCAAGTTCCTGGGCTTCCTTGTATTTAGACAATGAACCCGCGAGACACGGCTCCAACAGTTAATAACTTCCTGGAAAGGACAGGCTCCACTGGAGACCAAAATGGCAGCCTCCCCAGGCCACAAGGAGGAATCAGACACGGAACACAAGGCAGTTCAGGACAGGCTGTCATTGTGATCAGTAATGTACGGATGCCTTGATTTACATCACATTCTTACTGGAGTTCTCAACTGTTATCACACACAACCGGGAACATCTCAGACACTTCCCGGAGTTTCAAGACAGCTCCCAAGTCAGGTGGGCACACTTTTTTCTCATACACACATTTACACCTATTCATTTGCTAAGTTACTCTTTCTTAAGCTGACTTTTTTCTTCAAGGGAAATCTTGAAAACTCAGTCCTAACTTACAATAAATACAGTAAATACGCCCATAGTATGTTCAATATCCCATCTACTGTGCAGTAATATGTCGCCTGACGCCGCTGAGGAAAAGAACCAGGAAGCTTTCCCGTCTCGGATTTGTCATGATGGCAGTTGCCGGAACGCCCAAGTTCAACTCATCCGCTTAGTTTCCTTCTTTTTAATGTCCTCTAATTTGTCTGCCTGCCAAACAGAAACGTCCCCTTAGATGCAGCAAAGGGTAATAATCAAAGATAGCTTCCTGGGTAGTTCTTTCCAAAGGAAAAAAAAAAAAAACCACACAAGACCTGTGGTAGTCTCAGGGAAGTCTTCAAATCAAGTTCTTCCGTGAGGAGACCAGGTGACCTATGGTTTTAATACTTCCAGGGCCCGCAGGGTATCTCCTCGGGGACAGCCGGGATTGCGGGGGGGGGGTGTCCCTGCGCGCCGCGCCCCGCCCCCACAGGAACCCCGGATTCCCACACAGCTCGGACCCTGCCCTCCGCCGACCGCCCTCCGCCGACCCCCTTCCGCCGACAGGGTCCACCGCCCGCAGGTGCGAGGGCCCGGGGCTGCCCTGCCTCCGCGGCGCAGGAGCGCTTTCCTTGTGGAATGAGTGTTCCCGAACTTCGGGACAGCGAGAAAAGAGCGGGCGGACAGAGGGGAAAGGTAAGGAGAAAGCTAGGATGTGGTGACGCTAAACCACTGTTTCCTCGCCCCCGTCTCTGGCCGGGTCGCTGAGGTAAGAGGATTCACCCGAGCGGGAAGTTTCCCTCCTCACGGCCCGCCCGGCGCCACCAACAATCCAGGTAGAGCGCCCGAGCGCGCGGCGCGCCGCCTCAGCGAGGTCCCCGGGCCCGGCTTCCGCGCGCCCTTCCCTCCTCCTTGCCCCTCGGCGCCCGACCCGGGCGCCCGACCGCGGGGCTCCGCGCGTGCCAAGCAAGGCCTGCGTCCTGGGCGAGGTGGCGCGGAGTCCAGGAGGGCACGGTCACCGCGCCCCCCCACCCCCGGCGCCGGGCAGTCCCGGGGACCCCCAGGACAGCGCCGCCCCCGCCCCACCCTGCACCCTTGGCAACCCGCGCCCCTCTCCGCCAGGCGCCGGCTGGCGGGCGGTCGCGACCCTCAGCGCCCAGCGCCCCCTCAGCGCCGCACTCACCCACTCCGCGGGGCAGGCGCGCGGCGCCCAGCAGCAAGACCCCCAGCAGTGCGACCGTGACCCCGCAGTTGAGGCTGGCCATGGCTCCGGGGCGCCTGGGCCTCGGCGGGGAAAGCGACTGTGGCCCGTGGTGCAGAGTGGCGGCCGCGGGCCCCCGAGCCTGGCATCCGAGGCGCTGCGCTCCACCCCGGCTCGCTCACCTGCGCGCGGGGCGGATCCGCCCTGGCTCCGCCCAGCGCCGCGGGAGCACGAGCTGGCCGGCTCAGTCCCCTCCTCCCTGTCCTCCTCCCCTTCCTGCCTCCACTCCCGCCTCTCGCCTGGAGCAGTGTGACCGGTAGCCACCTTCCCGTGGTCTAGCCGCCGTCCCTCTCATGACTTTCTCTACAGGGGCCAAAGTCGCCCTTGGGGAAGACACTTGCCCCCCTTTCACTGGGAGACAAAGGAGGCCACTGTGCAGCCCTTTTTCCGGGGAAATCAAGTCTGTGGAACACCCAAGCCCTGGCTTCCGCCTCTGCTTCCTGATTTGGGCTGCAGGCTTTGGACTTTTAAGGCCGATGCTACTGGTACTCTTTTCAGATTGATGAGCCCGCAGCAAACCCCAGGCACTTCACGGACAGTGTTTCTAATGCTCACAGTAACCCTTCTACAGGACAGATGAAACAGACTTACCCAGTTACGCAACCTTCCGAAGGTCCCCGGGCCAGTTCGTAACTTGCGGAGGCAGGATTTGATAGCCCTGGAAGGGGTTTGCACAACCGGAGTTGCTTTGTTTCATTTTTGAACAGTGAAAGAGATGAGTGAATAAATACATGAGGCTGGAGAGGGCCAAGAGAAGAAACCTGAACAGGTCCACAGGGGCCCCCCTTCCTTGAATTCTGAATAGTAGGTATGGCACTGGCTTGAGGCATTTATTCCAATCATTGGGCTGTAAATGAATGACCCTGGGCCTCTTTCCCTCCTCCCAGCTGCCTTTCTCTGGTTTCTGAGGTCCTGTGGATTCTCCATACCCCTCTGCAGGCCACACACCAAGTCCAGGGTCACAGTGTCACAAGGAAAGACAGTGGATGGTTCAGGGACTCTCAGCTAGCAGACCAGGGTTCTATCAGAATGACTCCAAAGGCCCCCGTGGGTCTGCCTGTGCCAGTGGGCAGCTAGCAACTGGGCCAGGGTCACCCAGAATAACCTGGAAGCAGAGTGCATGCAAGAGCATTGGTCTGTCCTGTTGCCACTTTTTTTTTTATTCTTGGGGAACTGAGCTTCTCCAGGCTGCTCCCACTCTTATCAGGAACAGGGCTGAGAAACCATCTCTTAGAGGAGTCATCCCCTTCCTTCTGTGTGTCTTCAGTGGTGAGAATAAAGCAGCCTCTGTCTACAGGGAGCCCACAGTTGATGAGGGATACAGGACTGACCTGGCTGTGAACATGACTGCCCCGCCTCTCCTCCACCTATGGACTGAGCTGAGGGAACATCAGTTTACCTTCCAGTTACTTGGAAGACAGATGAGGAAGCTGAGGCCTAGAGGGAAGGAAGAGGATGAGAAAACTAGGGAGGCTCTTGGTTCTCCCCAAGAAATTGAGGGCAGACTCATCAAGAGAAAAGAATTATCAGAAAATCTAAACATCCTTCAAATATGTTTATGCTGACAGGAGAGTAAAGCAGATTTTATCTGTTTTCCTAATTGTAAGCAGGCATATATACCCCAGCATCTTTTCCTAGCATCCCTAACTCCATTGTTTTCTACATATGATGATGGTGATGATGATGATAATAATAATGGAGTGGCAATGAGTTGAATTGAAAATACTAGAAATATTTTGTGATAAGTTTAAGCCTAAGGAACAAGTTATCTTTTTACTATTTCATGTCTCCGGAGTGTGCTTAACTGGACTCTCTGGAAGAGTGAAACTGGCTGCGCTGGGTCTTTGTTGGTGCTCATGGACTTTTTTCCTTTGAGGCAAGAGGGGGCTACTCTCCAGTTGTGGCCCGTGGGCTCAGTACTTGTAACTCACGGGCTCTAGGGTGTGGGCTGAGTAGCTGTGGCACACCAACTTAGTTCTGAGGCATGTGGGATCCTCCCAGATCAGGGACTGGATACATGTTGCCTACATTGACAGGCAGATTTTTAACCACTGGACCACCAGGGAAGTCCTAAATGAACCTTCCATAAATGACACAAAAGTCAGGAAGTCTCAGATGTGGAGGGTTGGTAGTAGTTCCAGATAATGGCAACAGTGAGATAGAGTCAAGGAAATGAGGAAGCATTTCAGCATCCTTTGCAAGACAACCCACCTCTGTAGTTGAAATCAAGATGTCTTGAGGTAATGACTTGCTTCATGGAAGAATGTAAACAAAGCTTTGCCACATTTTGGAAATATCTTCTCTTTCCAAACTTGCCTGAATGGAAGGAGTCAATTTTTAAAAGTTATTTCTGAACTGAAAGAAATCCCAGGCAGCTGCTGTCTCCCGCCTTCAGTCTTTCCCAGCATCAGGGTTTTTTCTAATGAGTCAGTTCTTCTCATCAGGTGGCCAAAGTATTGGAGCTTCAGCTACAGCATCAGTCCTTCTGATGAATATTCAGGACTGATTTCCTTTAGGGTGGACTGATTGGATCTCCTTGCAGTCCAAGGGACTCTCAAGAGTCTTCTTCCAACACCACAGTTCAAAAGCATCAATTCTTTAGCACTCAGTTTTCTATGTGGTCCAACTCTCACATTCATACATGACTACTGGAAAAACCATAGCTTTGACTAGACGGACCTTTTTGGGCAAAGTAATGTCTCTGTTTTTTAATATGCTGTGTAGGTTGGTCATAGCTTTTCTTCCAAGGAGCAAGCATCTTTTAAGCATTTTTGACCCCTCTGAAAACCCTACAAAAGCTACAAAGCAGGGATTTTTTTTTTTTTGTAAAAGACGTAAGCCTGCAAAGATGAGGGGAGCAGACAGAAGACAACAACAGCCTCTTAGAAACTGGAAAGCATATGGGTAAGTGAAAACTGTAAGCCAGTAGAGGGGAAAATTGGGAAATAGCATGATTTATACCATAGAGTTCTCAAAAAGAAACAAAAACAAACCAAAAAACCACCACTAAGGAACTGGCAGCACCAGGTATTCTGTAATGGGAGAGTGAAGAAGGGGCTAAAACAATGAAACCTGGAAGAAAGCTGAAAAACTATAGTTCGATCTCTGGAAACTATCCTCCATTTCTCCTGGCTGGGCAACTGGCCCTAAGCAGAAGTCTGAAGCATTGTTTTCTGAAGAGGTTACAAGTGAGGAAACTGGGCTGAGAAGTGCTAGGCATAGCTGTAGGCTTAGGAAACATTCTGGAAAATAGGTAGATAAAAGGAACAAATATATTCCTTATGCTTAGCTCCCTAGGTGCCTGGCCCCAGTTTTCCCCTCAGACTCCAGTAGTCTCAATTCATATTAGGGATGGAAGGAGTCGTCTTCTGGAGAATCTGACAAGCTCAAGAAGAAAGACCTAAAGATACAGACATTTAGCCCCGTCAAGAGGCTAACCAGATTCTTCCCATGACATTCACAGTTGATCAGCCCCACCAGTTAAACTTTTTGATCTCTCATTTTTAAATATGACCAGACAATAGGATTTCATGACATCTGAGGAAAACAGCCAACATGATAGAGTCAAAATCAACCGACTAACCAAACAGAAAAAGGCACTTGGAGAAAAGAGAGAGAATAAAACAAAACAATTTCTAACTTCTTTAGAAAAATAACAGACAACAGTGTATTTATGCTGTAGGGATGGGGAGTAATAAAAAAATGAATATTCAGGGACCCACAAGAATTATTGGAAAAATTTTTAAATGATAGTAAATATTAAAGAATAAATAGAAAAATTGAAAGATTTCCCAGAAAGTAAAGCAAAAAGATAAAGATAAAAAATAGGAGAGAAAAGGTAAGAAAATTAGAGGTCTAGTTCAGGGGATCTGACCTGTGGCTAGTGGGTTTCGCAAATAGAGATTGCAGATTAGGCAGAGAAATCATCATTAGTAATATAATTCAAGAAATTCCCCAGGCCTGGAATGACATGAGTTCCAGATTTAAAGGCTCATGGTGTGTCCAGCACAGTGGATAAAACAGGCTCACATCAAGTCACCTCACAGCAAAATTTCAGGAGCCTATAAACAAAGAGAACATTTTATAATTTCGAGGGTCTTATGCAAAGACCCTTTTGTTTCTTATGCAAAGAAACAAAAATCAAACTGGCTTTGGATTTCCCAATAGCAGCACTGGAAGCTGGAAGACAATGAAGCAATACCTTCAAAATTTTGAAGGTATAATAATTTCCAACAGAGAATTCTATATCCAAGCTACCAATTAAGTGATAAAGTAGAAAAAGAGCACTTTTAGACATTCAAAATCTAAAACAGACAGAAAACCAATAAAACCTCCAAACAACAAACTCCCACACACCTTTTCTCAGACAAATACTGGAGAATGTATTCCATTAAAACAGGAAATGCACGAGACACAGAGAGGAGTGGATACAGGTTTGTGGGGCTGAACTTAATTACCTTAAGAAAAAGAATACAGAGTTACAAATAGAAAATCAAATGTGAAAAGTGAGTATTTATAATAAGGAAAGAAATGACAACAAATCACAAACTTGAAAAAATTGAAAAATACCCTGAATGTCACTAAATCTAGAAAGCAGTGTGACATCTTTAATATTAGTTCACTGGTCCTGTATTCTTGCCCGAGGAATCCCATGGACAGAGGGGCCTGTAGGACTACAGTCCAGAGGGTGGCAAAGAGTTGCACCCAACTGAGCAACTAAGGCTTTGACTTTTCACAGCACTGCATCATTCATTCATTCATTTCTTCAGGTCATATTTTGTCACTGATGTGTGTATCCTTTCTTCTGGGACTGTCAGATTTCATCATGACAAGATGCATCAGATAAGGTAAGATACACTCTTGATTTATTGTGATGTATTAGACATATGAATTCACACACAGAAATGCTCAGTGTTTCTAGAAACATAGTGTTGTGCCATACAAAGTACAGAAGTTCTTACAAATTCTATATGTGTGACTCTGATTAAAGAGCAAAGTAGTGTG